TTTTTTTTTTTGCAGCTCAAGGACCTGGTACATGTAAGTACACGATATTACAAATGTAATAAATGCGCGAGCGATTCAATACGCGTATTATTCTAGAGTCCATGACTTTAATATTTCTTTTCCATTTCCATTTCAGCTCAAGGCTACGGCTACAGTTAGTATGATATTACCATTCTAATAAATGCGCATATGAATGAATTCACGTATTCTAAAACACTTATGTTTCTTTTTTTTGCAGCTCAAGGACCTGGTACATGTAAGTACACGGTATTACAAATGTAATAAATGCGCGAGCGATTCAATACGCGTATTATTCTAGAGTCCATGACTTTAATATTTCTTTTCCATTTTCATTTCAGCTCAAGGCTACGGCTACAGTTAGTATGATATTACCATTTTAATAAATGCGCAAAAGAATGAATTCAAGTATTCTAAAGTCCATTTTTATATTTTCTTCCATTTCAGCTCAAGGCTATGGTTAGTATGATATTACAAATGCGCAAATGAATGAATTCACTTATTCTAAATTCCACTATTTTTCCCCTCCGATGCAGATCAAGGACCTCCTGGTAAGTACACGATATTACAAATATGATAAATGCGCAAATGAATGAATTCACATATTCTAAAACCTACTTTTATGTCTTTATTCATTGCAGCTCCAGGGAATGGTAAGTATGATATTGCAAATGAAATATTCGTGTATTGCATTTTTTATTTCTTTTTATAATACCGTTTTTTTAACTGACAGTTATCAGGCCACAGAGATTTTTTCCTGGTAGGTGGAAATATTTATGCATTGTATTCTCATTGTTAGTTATTCGCATTTCAAATACTAATATCTAWAATATATTTATTTTACAGTTTTCAATTGCCCAGCACGTTTTAGTGGTTAGTGAAACATATTATTTATGCAAACGAAATAAATGCGCAGATAAATGAATTAACTTATTCTCAATTTCACTTTTATTTTTCCCCGTTGCAGCTCAAGGACCTGGTAAGTACGATATAGCTAATTTGATATTTTTGCATTTTATTCCCATTTTTATTTGCCATTTCAAACACAAATATCTTGAATACATTCCATTTACATTTGTCAATGTTCCAGCACCTTYTGGTAAGCGAAAAATGATATTTATGCACATGTAATATATTTATGCATTGCATTCTCATTTCTCACTTCCAATGATACTCCTATTTGCAAAAACTTCGTCCAATATTATAACAATAGCAAAATAAATTAATCCACTGATATTTTTTCAGGACCTGAACCTAGACAATCGTCCTTTAAGTTGACCAAACTGTTGTCATCAAGTGTTGTGTGTAACCTGTTCATATCATTTTTTTAATATTCAATAGTCATGGCATATCGCCAGCCACAACCACAGCCATCTCATTATGGAAGTAAGTTGAAAATTGATATGTATGGAATAATTAATACCTCATGATTTTTATCTGATAGAGTACAAATGCTATGAAGGAGGATACKGGTACATATKCAACATATRTACCAGTATCCTCCTTTGAAGGGGTCTTTATCGGAAAGAGTCTGCCTAAACACASGAATTCTATAGAGTTGCTTATGATATAAGCAATATAATAATATACTGAATACTCATGCTAAATTACTCTAATTCCGTTCTTTTCTATGGTTTGGTTAGCAATATTTG